AGATATGTTTATTTGTACTAAATGTTTTACGAAGATGAAGAAAAACTCTGATTACTGGGTTATTTATTGATTTCTTTATTTAAACACATGAACATTGGTAAAAGAAGACATAAAATAGATATGCACCACATAAATCATTCGATTTATTTGAGGACTGTGATGCTACTTGTGTGTGCTAATCGAAGCAGGTGGTTTTCTTAGAAGACCATACCCCGAGCCTTTGACCTAAAGGTGTAATTCACAAGCGAGTGGAGCAACAAAGGCGATGCAGTCACATGGTAGCCGGTAACCAATAATGGGTTCATACGCCATTTGTTCTCTCAGGATCTTGGAGCTAATGTACACCATTGGTTTGGAATCAGGGTTTTCCAACTCCCCTAGGTGGATGCTCTGTATCCACTAAATCGGTTAAAGTACCGGATATTTGCCTTTCGTCCTCTCAATTTTGTAAACAACACTCCTGCCACGAGAAGGCAGTGAGCAGGACTTCCTTGGCAATTGTTGTATGCACATGGCCATGTGAGAGCATTTGAAGAGGAAGAGAGGACTCTCCTCACTCTCGGACGTACCAGGGTATTTGGGGGTAATACATGTACATATAGAACTTTACACTGAGTGCATATTTAAACATTTTAATGTGGGATTAATTAATGAGACGTTTCTAAAATTATCAGAATGGGGATTTGTGGAGAATGTAGTAATTTTAATAGTTGAATTTACTAATCGATATAAGATAGACCACCAATGAAAGCCTGGAAACACCGGACAGTTGTTTCGTCTAATTTATAAGACTCCTTAGCAGTGTACATCCGCGATTCCGCACTTAGTACACGAACCTAGGACTTTCGGTCTCGAGCGTGAACGCTTAACATAAATACCACTGAGCAGGCATCCAACGGTGTTAATGTCTAATTTCAATCGATCTATGATCTTTCTTAACCCTTCTTCCATTGTCTGAGGTGGATAACTGTCTCCACACGACACAGAATAAACTCCCTTAGTCATGGCTTCTCATTAGAACTTTAAAAAATCTAGCATTCGGTATCATGTATGTGCACTGTTGAGGAGTCGCATATTAGGACGAAACGACCGTCCAGCACTTTCAAGTTTTCATTGGTAGTCTAACTTAGTTCGATTCATGAATTCAACTATTACAGTTTCTATAATTATTATCTGAAACTGTATTATTAATCATTTTAAATTGTATTAGTACAAATTACAATGATTTACAATTGAATAAAATCTAATATTTCTAAATGTCTATTGAACTTGACTACAAATTTATGTTCATTATTTTTTTTAAAAACAATATCCTTTAATTACTTAGATACTTAACTCTTGTATGACTACAGTATTTGTTTTCTTCTTAACTATACCATTTAAAATTACATTTATAACATAAAACAAAGAACCCACAAAAGTAATTACACGTTGGTTTACTTGTAAAGAAAAAAAAAATGAAGTAAAGAAATAATGACTATTAAAAATTAATTTAATTATAATTAGCTATTTGTCAAGTTCTGTTTAGTTTCTTCCCTCAAAAATAGGAAACATGGAGATTAAAACAAAAAAAAAGAGATGTAAATATTATATTTTATGATTTATGTCAGTTAACAAGTGAACCTTTATTCCTTTCCCCTTTTTTTTTTTAAAAAAAAGAGAAGTCATGGGATAATTAATTAACGGAAAGTATGTTTTAACATTAATTTTTCTTATGTAAAAAGAGAGATAAAACATTTATCATAGTTTGTTAGAATGTTTCATTGTTTGTTTGTTTTTTCATTAATATATAGTATTACAAGTAAATTAACTACATGGTGTCAATGTTTTGTAATATAAATGTCTTTGAATTACATTGATTTGTATACATACACATATATCATTAGTTGAGGTCATGAGATCACCGTGGAAAATCTGGAAGAACTGGACGGCCGTTTCGTCCCAGTATAAGACTCCTCGGCAGTGTGCATTCACGATCCCGCACCCCGAGAGATCCGAACACAGAACCTATCAGTCTCGTGCCAGGCGCTTAACCAACTAGACCACTGAGCCGGCATCCGATGGTGTTAATATCTAACTTCAGCTAGTATACGAAATTGAGCGACACATCCACTATTGTCATCAGTGATTTACTATCTCACAACAGACCCTGTGTGAACTCCATTGGCACGGTTACTCATTAGAACTCCAGGATATACATCTTGAAGCCAGTCACTAGTGAGCATATGTTAATTAGTGTCAGATGGGTCCTGGGTTTGAATCCTGAGAGGCGGGTTCCTGGATGTGCACTGTTGAGGAGTCTCACAACAGGATGAAACGGCCGTCCAGTGCTTCCAGGTTTTCCACGATGGTCTAGCATCAATTAACTCATGATCTCAACTATTGAAATTACTACGATCTCGACAAAACCCATTCTGAAACGAAATTGTGCTATAAATGATCAGAATAAATATGATCAACATGTAGTGAAAGAGAGAGAGAGAGAGAAAATAATGAAATAAAAATTAGAAATTACGTAATATGTAGAATAATATGAATTAGGTCAGATATAGTAGTTAGGGGTGGATGCTGAATAAATTTCTCAAAAAGTTTATCAAACGTAATATTAATAATAACAATAAAAATGATAAAGATGATAATAACAATGATAAAGATAATAATAATAAGATAATTTTGGTAAATAAAATTAACATTAATCAATTTACATCACCGCATTATAAAAGTGATTATTAACTAGTTGATCATGAAGTTGGTCAGGGTAAAAGGAGTGGCTGAACACATTTCTTTTGGATGCAAAGCTCTGGCTTTTTGGTCCGAATAGCAATTGCTTCGGCCGTCTGTAAGATTCTCAGTCTGACGGAATTAGGTAGATTGCTGTTAACACGATATATTATTGCGAAAGATTGATCCATGTTGGCTGTATGTCTTGTCTGCAATAAATGGGCTAAAATCGAGCTGCTAACAGTTTTGACTACACCTTTACTTAACCACACTGAGAAGTGCTCATGAGCCCGAATATATAAGTTCCTAGAACATCTGCCAATATAACTTACACCACAGGAGCAGTTGAATTGATAATTACAGAAAGAGATGGCTAGTCTAGGAAATTTATCTTTCTGCCTCGGAGTGATGATAAGGCGTATGTAAAACATTAATTGTAGATAACCTGCATTGAAAGTTCTTTGGATTGATCTACATAACGTCACACTTAGCATCTCACTAGTTGCATTGCCTCTGAATTTTAAGAGTATATACAGAGGCTTTTTATTTACAGTTAGGCATTTTCTATGCTCTTTTTTATTGGCTATGTTTTTATTTATAAATTTCTCAGTATATCCATTTTCTTTCAGGGTCGTTATAGTGCCTTTATTGAGTTTATTTTATACGTTCCTATATACGACTATTACTAACAATTTATATGATATACCTATATTGAACGTTGTTTCGAAGTTATAGATTCTAGAGAATATGAAAGATAAGCTCTTTAGAAACATTAAGAAAATCATTGTTAATTTGATATTAAATTATGTTATCAGTTAACTTACTTACTTTCGCCTGTTTCTCCGTATGGAGGAGCATAGGCCTCTCACCAGCACTCTCCATTCAACCCTGTCATGGACAGTCCTTTACAACTCCTTCCACTTGTTATTCATTCTTTTGATATCTGCTTCTATTTCCTGACGTAATGTGTTCTTTGGCCTTCCTTTTTTCCACTTCCCTTCAGGATTATAAGTTACGAATTGCCTCGTGATGCATTTTGAGGATTTCCGTAATGTATGTCATATCCATTTACAACATTATTTCCTAACTTCCTCCTCAGTTGGAAGCTGGTTTGTTCTCTCCTGCAGTAGGCTATTGCTGATGGTATCCGGCCAATCGATATTTAGTATCTTGCATGAACCACTATTTATAAATACTTGTGCCTTCTGTTATCTATTAAGCTTTATCAAAAAGTGAAACTTCATTTTGTATATAAGAAACTAATATCGTGTTATTTAAAAGTTGGTGTCAATTTAAAAGATCAAAGAGGATTGGAATAATAAATCAACTCAATGTATTGTTACTGAGAAATGATTTTTTTAATGACTTGAGTAAATGCCATTATTATTCAGTCAGTCACGCGACTTTTGATGATACGTATATTCTGAAAATAGATTTCGACACAGACTGACTTTAGATGCGAAGCCATCTAGTACTATGGAGCGTAAACAGCTGATGTGTTGCGAGTCAACATTTTTAAGCAGTGTGCATTTACTACACTAAATAGTTTTGGATGTAAAACTTTCAGATCTGATGGTTAGCATAATACGGTTTGACCACTAATCAGTATTATAAACTTCCGTATTATTCGGAAACTTTGACCACCAACAATTAACCTGAATGTCTCTGGTTTCTTATCAAGTTTATACTTATAGAGAGTCCTAAACTGGAACTAGACATATGAAATGTGCTCCCTGATTTTTACTGATACTTCAGACAAATGTTAATCTGTGACACAAACGTTGTTTAAATACTCAGAAGTTCACTATCAACAAACATGAATAAACAGGGATGGATAGTAGCTAGCAGTGGAATCTAGAACGCGTGTTTCGTCCTACTTGGGAGTCGTCAGCTGGATGTACCTGCATCTCAGAGTTGATGTTCGCTCTTGGACTCGAACCCAGTACCGTTCGCTTGAAACGCCATCGCATTAGCCACTATCCATCTCCGCTTATAATGCATGTAAATTAAGGCAATATCGAGGCAATACACACAGTATGCACATATGCCAATAAGAGACTGATCAATTTCAGTCCTAAACACCAATGATAAGATTCAAGTAAAACAATAGCAAGTGAATAAAACATGAATAAACTTTGTAAATGAAGTTTTCATACTTTTCTTTTTTGCTTTAATTATGAAGGTTCCACAAAAACAGTAAATACTTCCATATTTCATTATTTATGCTTAAAAATAAGCTTTTATGTTGCTCTTTTTTTTAATTTATCACTGTGATATAGGCCTGGAACTTATATTGCAAAACTATATGCTATTGATATAGATTCAGCAGAAAATGGTCGTATAACATATGGAATTAAACCAAATGAGCATACAGATATACAATCCTTATTTGAATTAGATCCTATAACTGGTGATATTATATTAAAACGTTCATTAGATTATAATATAGATACATTAAGACTCAAAGAAAATGAAAACTTTAAAGATTTTAATTCACTTAATATACATAGTAGATCATCATCTATTCATGAAATGGAAATGAAACGTCGAAATCAATCTATTCATGGAATAAATAAAACAACTTTTAAACAAAATGAATTGAAGAATAAATTATATGAAAGTCAAATGGCATATAGTTTAATTGTTACAGTAAGTATCATTATTCTTAAGATTGTGAATAGCTTCTTCTTTTTTTGAACATTTAGATTTTTGGATATGAACTAGTATTTATAATGAATTAAGTAGTATCGTAGTAATTTAGTAAACATGTGAAAATCATATATCAACTATATCATTTTCGTTTAGATGCTTCAGTATTCTTTCAGTTTTGTTGTTAATAAAATTTAGTTTTAGCTTCCCTATTCTGTTCTTTTCAATTGAATATTTTCAATCGGTAAGACTAGAATTTATGAACGAGCCAATCAGAAGCGCTTCAGGGATTTCAAGGTCATGGCGCCAATTTCAGTACTTGATGATTATTTACGATTAATTCACAGTGAATTTTAGAGAAAATGTGATAATTTAACGACTACTATAAATAGGACTAATAAAAAGTTGCTTTGTTTATGATTAAGGTAATCAACTGACTTGTGGACCTTGTGAAGACTACCATGATGATGTTGTTTTTCGATGTAATATGTGTTGGAGGAAGAAATCTGCTAAAATAGTGATTTTCGCTTGATCCAGAATAAGGCTTAGGCAAATTATGACAAATTATGGAAAATTATGGCAAATTATGTTGTGAGCTGGATAATAAGAGCACCAGTAATACTGGCTGCTACCGGGTACTATAATATATACGGATGATTGGAGAGCGTACAGATAACTACATAGACTTGGTTACGTGCATCGTATCTTTATCCACAAACAGCATTTTTGGACACGAAAACCGAAGTACGCACAGACAATATTGAAGCTATGTGTTCGAGGCTGAATGAGGTTTTACGATTTTATCATTTCTCCAGAGGCCGGTAATTATGGAGCCATATGGATTATTTGCTCTACTGTATTCATTACGATTTTAGAACCCCTGAACCTCTTTCTAACCTTGATAAGTTTTTGAACCATGTGAAAGTAATGTATCCACTTTAATTCTTTGGTATTTTATAATATGTTTTTACTGTGTACTAACTTTTCTAATTGCCTAATATTTCTCGAGTTCAATTAAGATTCGTTCAAAGGTCGTCCATAAATTTAATCTTGCTTCTCAATCTTCTATTAGCATACATTTCACTTCCAATTGGTGTAACATACTATTTATATCTGTCAATATATGTATATATGTAACATGAGTAACTAACTGTTCTAAGAGATCGTATTTCTACCTATTAAAGTTTATAATTTCAATAACAATTAAAATTAAATTTTCTCAATAATTCTGACCAATTACTTCTTGATAAAGAACATGATTCTATTGATATTTGAATTGTTAGATGATGGAGAAGATTTGTAGCCCAGGTGGATGATTTTGATGGAGTTTTGTGCTCTGAGCTGGATGGTTCAGTCGTGGAGCTTTCATCGTTCTTCTGAACGACATCATCAGCACAAACTTCAGATAAAAGTGAAGTGTTCGAGTTTGTGCATATGCACAAATATTGGAACAAAAATCAAATCAATGGAAAAGACAACCAAAACAAAGAAGTAAACAATGACAAATTTAAGGTCAATAACAGCCAATCAAGATCGAGGTGTACAGAACAAGCTGTGAAACGTATATGGAGAAATTCGAACATTTCTCTTCTATCTGAAGTTTGTGCTGATGATGTCGTTCAGAAGAAAGATGAAAGCTCCACAATAAAACCATACAGCTCAAAGAACAAAACTTCATCAAAATATTTGAATTGTATTAAGCAACTGATATATCAGTTTTATTCTTAAGATATTTATCTAAAATTTTCCTCAACTACTACTGTACATCCAGTTTTTAGTTTCGTAATATCACTTACTAATATTCACTTCCCTATTTCAAATATCACTGAACAAAATCAAATACATGATAAAACTCAAACAATGATTAATATACTCAAAGTTACACTTAGTTTGTGGATGACGTTTTTAATATTAAGATAATAATCTTAGTTATAAACATGTACAATGAGTAATTGATATATCACAGTGAAACAATCACCAAACTTTCATATCTATGGAGATTCTTTAATTATTATCTATAATTATCATTATCTTATTAGTAGTCAGATTAGTAAATTGTATTCAAATTTAAGTTCTAATTTAAATTGATTAAACAGGAGAAATCTTCAAATAGTTGTGTTACGTCCTTGATTTGTCTACCAACTTTTATGCAGAGGATAACTTATCTAATCCAGATTAAGACCTTCACGCAATAGGCTGACCGGCTTAACCTTGAGGCTAGTATGCTTGAGTTTGAAGTGGAGTAGAGAGACGAAAAAAATCCCATCACCTGATTGGCTGGCAAGCACGCGAGTGAGAGAAGACAAGTCAACTGGAACACTACTCGAGTTATCCTCAATTCCGATGTGGTTCCCAATTTTAGATTAATGTAAAAAGATTCATGAATAAATAAATGACTTACCAGACCACAACGCACAACAATTAGGAAAATACAGTTATGTCAAAAAGTGAAAATTAGCGTAGAAATTAGAGTACAAAATATTACATTTAAATTACAATAGCTTTGGAACATAAAGGGGTATGGCAGTGCATAATACATCAAACGAAAGCTTATGATCTTTAGAATAGACTAGGGACAAAAGTAATTGTTCATGTTTTACAAGCTTTGAATTAAATGAAATAACGTCCCTAAAATAGCTTCTGTAGTTTGTCAAGGCTTCTTGTTTCTCTATTCAAATCAAGTTAGGACGGAAGTTAAGTGTATAATGTACAGTAGTCTGTAAATTTAAGAAATATAAAGTATTAAAAAACATTCAGTATGATAATTGAAAGTGAAAGCAAGTTGTTTTTTGGAATGTTTTACCTTCATACGTCCTAGTTTATGTGTTTATCGATAAATAGAAGTAAAATATTCAAGTTCAGTTATTCAATATCACAACATTATTTTGATTACGTTGAAAATCTATTCGTACACAGTGAAAGGTAATAGAGATTCTGACTAGCAATAAGACATTCATATTATATTTAATACTTCACTGTCTGAAAAGATCCTGGTGAATGATTTTATCAATTATCATTTGTTTCAATCTTCGTCATCTTATCAAGATTTTTTGTTTGGTAATTGTATATTTAGATCATCATTATCCACAATAAGTTATTTATCAATGATAAGTAGATTGTCCAATCACTAACCCTCTTGTTTCGAACCTATTCCTGGTTCTGAAATAATTGATTGTTTTACCACTCAACATTATTATTGTGGGTGTCCCAGCCACAAACATCTGGTGAAGACTTCTGGGAAGGCCTAATAGTCCAACTTCGTGAATACGATTTAATGGGGATCGCTGACCAACCTTACAGAGTTACTTGGTAAAATAGAAAAACCATATGGTAAATTGTTAATTTGCAAAATATCATTCCATCATATCAAACCGGACTGTTGCCTTTGCACACGTCAATCCATTGTCTCACATTCCATTGTTCATGCGATTTCTTACAAACTCCATTGTGCTCTCGCTCTTTCTTTCTTGATCTTCCTCATCTTCTGCTGCCAGACATTACGTTTTTTTAACTCGCGCTATATACTACTCATATCAATAAAAGTAGCACACACCACAGTTTTACCCCATGCATCCCATGGCATACACGTAGGAATATTCACACATTTGGGAGCGTAGATGTTCACCGTTCCGAAAAAATACGTATTTGCTACACCAGACTGATTCTTACACACTATAGGCACATTATTCGCGCCATGGCTACCGCGCCAGTATTTTCTGGCACACACATAAGCATAAGCACTCTCTCAGAAGAGGTTGTCGGTCACCTCGCCCTAGTACTTGTTACCACTTCCTTTTATTATGTCTTTGACCTGACAGATAGGACGCTGATTTTATTAGACGTAGAGCAGATATTTTTGAAGCTCAATCTTCCCTTTGTACGATACTAGATGCGTAACCTTTTTATATACCATACATACTTGAACCACATAAATCCGAGAACTGTAATTCTCATACATAAGCATACACATCGGGTATCCTGGATGGTAAAGTGAGCCCCGAGTATAGAATTCAGAATTGATCAGATCGCTTCGCTCTCTGAGACCGCCTAAGTTGGCTAGCAGGGTTGTCCCCACTATTCAGCAGCGCCAACAGGAGGCCTTAGGTAGGATTTTGCTGCCATTCTTGTTATAATTCACTATTACTTTACTAATTTTGATCATTTATTAGTTGCACGATCTGTATCTTCATCATTATTGACAAATGGAGTCAAAGTGGAAGTAAACTGAAATACGTTTTACGTATAAAATCTTCTCTTATGTTGAAATGTAGTAGAATATGTCCGTCATTAATCAATCACGACTTACTTTCATTGACATATTAAAAACTGCAACTTAATTATGATCCAAACATCTCCTTTTTTAGATATGTGTTTTCCTTAACTTGCAGGTAACAGACAATGGGGAACCACCATTGAAATCTTCTACCATTTTAAGAATTCTATTTACTCCACCATTTTACCCACCTAATGATTCGAAAGATTCACCAAATCCTTTAATAATAAAACATTCAGTTCGACACAAATCATTAAACAATCATCCTGACTATACTAAAAGTCAATCTATATCAAATGAATTAGATTTCGACACACCAGTAGAAAATGAATTAACTGGAATCGGTATACTACTTGGATTAGTAACAGCTATTGGTTTATTTGTCTGTTTTTTAATTCTTGTTATAATGATCACTTTTTATCAAAGTCGAAGACTAAATGAGCATAGAAAACAATTAATTGAAAGAAGAAATCAAGCATATAATCAACATCAAGTAGTAGAACAAACACATCAATCACAATTACAACAACGACAGAATCAACAAAATTCAGAATTGATTCAACTTTCAACTGTATCGCCATCATTCAATACACAATCAACTCATTATATGCCACATTCAATTCTTCGTCATATTCCTGTAGAACAATTAAATAAATCTGATAAAACCTTAACTGATTCATCTCGACAGTATTATTTACAAACATTCAATGAAATAATGCCAAATTCACAAAATGAATTAATGACTAGTTTTACAACACTTTAAAGATATGCATCCTTTTTTTTATTTGATGTATGTATTTGTGTATGGTTCAGCTTCTTTGACCTCTTCTATTAGCTTCATTTGATCTCGTTAATTTTCTTTTTTTTTTAATTTACTGATTTGTACATTGAGAGAAACTTGATTTGATAAATGAAATTATACTTTTGTTGTGAATTATAATTTATACAAAAAAACATATATATAGATTATTTTGAAGCGATTTAGATAAATTATTTGTTTATTATTCGAATCCCATGATCGGGATCGCGGATGAGATCTTCTGAAGAGTTTCAAAATAGGACGAAACGGTGGTCAAGTGCTTCCAGGTTTTTATTGGTGGTCTAACATCATTTGATTCGTTATCTCAATCAAAAAATTATTGATGACGATAATGATCACAATTTGTGAAAATTGCTGTTAATATGCACAGGGTCAGTCAAAGAGAATTCATGGAATAAAAGTTAGTGGAGTCCAATTAGCAATAGTATAATCAGTAGTATTGTTAGTAGTAGTAAATCGAAGCAAAATGATATAAAATCAGGAAATGAGAATTATAAAGCGTCATTACAATTAAAAATAAAATAAATATTAGCGATACATATACCTTTGGCAACAGTAGATAATATCACGTCGCTCAAGGTGATCAAATAAGTGTTATGACTCTATCACTGATACTACTGAACCTAGCAGTCTGTGACTCAGAGAACTAATCCTTTGACATGGTTTGATCACCCTTGACATTTTGCCAGTCTATTGTTATGTTTTCTGTTATTGTATATCCGGGTAGTGAGAGGATATTAATTTGTACCATATGTCAAATTCACTTCAGTAGAGTATCGTTCATAGCTACACCAATCAACTTAAAATCTCTAGTTAGTTAAACAGCAAAGAAACAATGCTCAGAATGTATAAGCAATCAAACACTAGTAACTTATGCATGATTTCTACATCCATAGACTATTGTAAATAATACTTACTTATTTACTATCGTTTGTTACCCCACGTGTAAGAGCATAGGCCGCTGACCAGTATTCTCCATCCGCTTCTGCCTTCACTATCCCTTTCAGTTCTTTCCAATTTCTAGTCATCCTTTTCATATCTGCTTCCGATCCTTGACGCAGTGTGCTTTTTGGTCTTCCTCTTATCCGTTTCCATTCACGATTCCAAGTTAGTGCTTGCTTTGTGATACAGTTTGATGATTTCCGAAATGTGTGTCATAACCACTTACATAGTCTTTTCCTGGTTTCTTCCTCACCTGGAACCTGGTTTTTTCTCTCCCACAGTAGGTTGTTGCTGACGGTATTCAGTCGACGGACATTCAGAATCTTGAGCAGACAATCGTTTATGAATACTTGCACTACTTTGATGATGGTTGTGGTAGTTATTCATTTTTCACCTCCGTACAGTAGGACTGCCTTGATGCTCGTACTGAAGACTCTGAATTTGATGCTGGTTTGCAGACAGTTGTTTTGAGTTCCATAGGTTCTTTAGCTGTGGAAATGTTACCCTTGCTTTTGTAACCAGTGCATTAACATCAGCATCTGATCGTTCATGTTCATCAATGATTCTGACCAATTATGCGAAAGTTTCCACCTCTTTCAGAGTTACTCCATCAAGTGTGATTGTGTTGGTTTTCTTTGTGTTGTATTTGAGGATGTTGGTTTTCCATTTTGTATGTTGAGGTCTACTGATTCAGAGGCTTTTGCTACAATAGTTGTCCTCACCTGTATTTGTTGATGTGTATGGGGTGAAATGGTCAGGTCATCTGCAAATTTCAAATCATGTAGTTGCATCCTATCTGTCGACTGTATTCCGTGCTTCGCCTCAGATAAAGAGGTCTTCATAATCTAGTCAGCCACCAGAAGAAAGAAAAAGAGTGAGAGTAAGCAACCTTTTCTTACACCAGTCATAACTTGGATCGCATCTGTCAGCTGTCGGTTGAACTCCAATGGTCATGCCTTCTCACTAGAACTCTTGATACTAGCGATAAATTTACTGGTCTATCTCAAAAATTAGTTAAATGAATTAACAAATTGGATGAAAACAAAAGTATTGCATTGAAATTAAGATAAAAAATTTTAGTTGTTTACTTAAATCGTATTAAAATTACAGATCTTCATCAACATACTCCATAATAACGTAAATTACCTTTTTTGCTAAACATTCTGATCGCTAAGCAATACAATTCCAAACATTTTACAATTTCCATAACTTTCATATTTAATTGAGACGTGAAAATAGTCCTTTATTACTAATCAACTTCTGTCGATTAAGTTATAGTATGGTCGCCAGTCTAATTGTTTCGTCCCTACTTTAATAGTTGAATGACACACCTCAGTCTGAGGAGATGGGTAAAATGAATTCAAATCCCACGTGGAGCATCGATTTGTTTAAGATTGCAGATACCACTTACTTACGTATGCTGAACATTACAGTTTCCTGCCAACCAACTCTAATCACCTGATATAATTCAACTGTACAACACGAATATATTTTATATTCATTAGTAGAACTTTTAGGTGAAAAAGCTCGTTTAAAGAGATTATTGGACTATATATTGTTGATCATAAGAATCAGTTTTGCTATAATATCATTTAATGCAATATAAGAAACAATGACATGAATCGAACCATGAAGGAGGTTAAGTTAGTTGTAAGCTAACTTGTCTAAATCTATTATTTAAGCAAACTATTTTCATTTCATTACGATATCAATTATAAAATCCTGATCAGAAATTCTTGAGTCTTATAATCACACACTATTTCACATGAAATTTTAATTCATCAAGAGTTAAATTCTCTTTCCACGAGTTACAATAAAAGTGTTATCAATGAACGACAAAAATCAATTACGTTATTATAATCACTTATATATCTGATCAATTATATCACGAAAATTAAAGTAAGCTAGATGTAAGTTGCATAGAAACAACGTGATATACTGACACTGGACCAAAGTATTGTGTATATTTAATTAAACTGAATCTGTCAATCACTTGAAAATAAAATATACAACTACTGGCGCCTTCAGAATATGATTACGTTATTATAGCGGGAAAAAGAATGTAATTTAACATTAAAAACATTTATTTACTTGGCAAAATAGAAAAACCATACTATAATAATTAATTTGCAAAATGTTCAATAATTGTCTCGAACTTCATTGTTCTTGCATTTCCGTACTAATTGCTTTCTATTCCCGCTCTTCCTTTCTTGATCTTCCCCATCATCTGCTGCCAGACATTACATTCCTGACTCACGTCATATACTACTTATATCAATATAAGTAGCACGCACTACAAGCAAGTAAGTAAACAGTTTCATAGACAATTAATCATTTAACTATATTTGTATTAATCATAAAACGATAGTAATTAACTGTACATATGTAGCAATTATCCTACAACCAATTTCGATTATAGTTAAATTTGGTTAAGCACTTTTATTAACTTACTTAACAGACAATGTTATTTGAACAGTAAGAATTCGCATATTTCTTTGAGCATGATTATGATCATTAGATTACATGACAGACTCTAGCTAAAATGTTGATCGCTTGAATGTCACTCGATGTTTTATTCTCCTTCCCATATATATATATATATATATATATATATATATATATATATATATATATATATATATATATATATATATGCAACGGTATTAAAAATCATTACATGTGACGTTACTAACGTGAGTTTGTTTTCCTTATTGCAGAACAGCAAAGAGTAAACGTACTGGAAGAAGAGGAACAAGCCCTACGTAAGCTGAACCTTCAGAACAATGTATAAAACTATTTCGTGATCAGTTTCCCTTTTTGTACTCGAACCGCGTCTTTCAATTTTAAAAAATATATCTGTTGGGCCAGTACGCCGCATTCTTACTTCTGAGGCATTTACCGGTCCTGACTTTTGTGTTGTTGTTTCAGATCGCTACTGCTCCTGCTAATATAACGAGCTACATATATACTCAAATCCCCTTATTAGCTTTTGCGGCGAGACTATAATTTATGGACGAACCAATCAGACTTAGGATAACAGATTTTGGATTTTGACGCGAAATACATTCACTTATCTGCGTAAGTAGCCTTTTGGCGTTATAACTGATGTCAGTTCATGATGAAAACCATAAACCTAATTCCTAACCCTAACTATCAACTGTAAATCATAATTTGAATTTCTCACACTGGTTTACAACCCTCATTTAGCCCCAGTAAGCATATGGGCATTATCAAGGTCACTTTAGCATCGCTTAAAGGTAGTCCATAAATTTTAGTCTCACCGCTTTTGCTTTGCCGTGCTGCATTCTTATGCAAATTGACTATATATACATATTTGCCTCTCTGCTTCAAATTCACTTGATGTGCTTATAGCTTTGTGATCTGTGCTAGTCGCTAATAAACTGTAGTCGCCACTTCTTATTGCCTTCTGATTTCAAACACCGTTAAAATTTATATAATATTGGTTACAAGGATAATTGATTAACACGAAGCAAAACCACTACATATATGTACAGCATAAATACAGTATACTTCATATAGCACGATCTCGTTCATCATTTACACAACTGAGGCGTGCCTATCTATAATTATTAGAAAGACATTTATTGACACGAATAATAATCTGGTTTTTTTATCATTTCAACTAGTGCCAACAACACTTCTGTCAAAAGAATATTCAGTTTGCAATATTTGCTCAAACTATCATTAGATAAACTTTCCATAAACATAGTGAATAATATGAATAATTGTTCTGGTATCTATGTCATTTTAATCAATACATAATTTGAGATGGCTTTATGAAGATTGTGTATACTTCATAGACGATTTTAGTAAAGAACTAAGGTCAACTAATGATCTATTTTATTTTGAAGAATACAAAATAACTGGTATATTTAAGTAGTATATAAACATTTAAAGTAGTCAAGTACCTCTTTAGAAAAATGTAATTTGAAAACCATGTCAAAATTGAAAAATTAGTAAGAACGGTAAAACAAAAGTCTCTTTCTTTTTACACATTACGATAAAATTGTCCCAGTTTCATTTAAGCTAATCGTGTTTATCTGCTATGTTTGAAGAGATTATGAGTTCACCAAATCTGAGAACGGAATGAAGACTCTGTGACACAATAACCAATAAGTTAGCTATTCTGAAGCGTCCCAGCCACGTTAACTAGAGAGAGAAGTC